TGGCTTAAATAAGTGTACAAAATACACTTATCAAATACATTAACATGCTTGCAAAAATTAGATGACCTATTAATGTTCTTTATTTATCAGTGTTGCATCAGTTTGTTAAATGTACAGTTATTTGGAATGAAAATGAGACGAGCTGTTCAAGAATCAAGATTACATGTCCAAAATCCTTCCAGACGTTCTTATAAATTGCTTTATCACTGCAGGCCAAATTGTTTATAAGAAACTAAAAGAGAGGTCGGACCAGTATGCTGGTAGAGGATTGGTAAGAACTCAGGAGAGCAAGGAAAAGATTGGCGGATCAGATGATGTTTACGTTGGGGATATAAGGACAGCAGAAAGCATTGCTCCAGCAATCCAAGGTATTGATGCCCTCATAATTCTCACAAGTGCGGTGCCAAAGATGAAACCCGGGTTTGACCCAGCAAAAGGTGGCAGGCCTGAATTCTACTTTGAAGATGGAGCAAATCCTGAACAGGTATCTATTGGAACTATTATAAAATCCGTCGTATTTGGGGTTCTTTGTTACTATCTTATTCTTGCTCTTTTATTTTTTTAGGTTGACTGGATTGGGCAAAAGAATCAGATAGATGCTGGTGAGAATTTGTATTAGTGTACTGTTTCCAATAGCTTCTCTTTCGGATCATTATATTAAAATTCCTAATATGTGTTGAACAGCCAAAGCTGCGGGAGTGAAGCAAATTGTATTGGTTGGATCAATGGGAGGAACAGATCTAAACAATCCCCTAAATAGCTTGGGAAATGGAAACATATTGGTATTTGCATCTTTTGCTTATATTGCCTTTTATGTTTTTCCCCCTCATCTTTATTGCACCGCCTTTTCCTTGTGACGTGGGGTTGCGTTTGGATCCCTTCATTTCAATTTTCCACTTACATTTTACTTTTGTCATTTTTTATTTCTTATTTTTTCTCCCTTCTCGTGGTTGTTTATACACGCACAGAGCGATAGATAATTTTTGAACTGCATCTCATGCAGTCAATTAATTTTATTAATCTGGGAAAATGGTTCTCCAGTGTTCTTATTTGAAACTTGAAAGGAAAAGAAATGTAAAAATCTTTCTTATTTGCATAGACTCACTTCTTATTAACATCATATGGGTACATCTTAAATGGAAGTGGAAACTGCAGTGTAAAATAATGAGCAGAAAATGTCTTTATAACGGCCAGTTTTTATATCACTACTTCGCATTTTCATAAAAAAGTTTCACTAAATGCTAACTGATATACTGAGTACAGGTATGGAAGAGAAAGGCGGAACAATATTTAGCTGACTCTGGAATTCCATACACCATTATTAGGTATGCACTTGTTTTCACTTCTACACTTAGTCCTTGTTTGATTCCCATTTTTTTCAAAATACGTTTTTCTTTCTTTTCTTTTTAATTACACATTCTTTAATAAAATAATATTATATGCAAATCCAAAACTTTTCCTTATATTTTAACCACATTCTCTATCAATCTACCATTCCAAAATGCAACAGGCTGCTAGTAAAGATTACACGTGCTCATGTTTTTGCATGCAAAAATTAGGTGCAAGTAGTTACAAGTATATTTTACCCCAATATAAACTTGGGATGCAATATTAGTTTCTTTTCCACTAATCTGCAGCAATACCCAGGAACTTGGATGGAACCATTGCTAGGATCCTTGTTCATGGGTGTATGCTATTAATATTAATTAAACTAACAGGATATGATTTATTTGCAGTAATGCGCATCAACTTTTTAACTTTGTAATGCATAGATTAATATTACATGGAAAGGTGGTAGATGGGTTCTCGGAACACATTTATAAAGTTAAAGAGCATGTTCCAGAGAACTCTTACTGGACTAGATGTGCTTTGTGGTAGTGAGTGGTGGTCATCAACATGCAAAATGTGCATAAGATGGAAATAGCATAAATAAGGACATTAAGATGACTATCTGGTCATACTATAATAAAAAGTGAAGGTGGAATCAATTGAAGATTAAGGAGAGTGTGGGTTACATTTTGGGATATGTAGGCTACGTTTGGTGCGACGTATTAGATCTTCTAAGAAATTCAATATAAAATTATTATGGATAGTACTAGGTAGATGGTATTATGGTGGATAAAAGGCATTTATTATTCTTTAATTTTTCATTCAAATGATAGTCATTTGCATTATCAACCGTTTAAGATAATACGGAGATTGATGTGGGTTTAGGCCGGATAAGAAGAAATACATTGTATCTACCTTAATCCACCATAATACCTTATATTTAATATTACCAATTATAATTTTATACTAGAAGTACTGGTAGAATCCTTTGAACAAGTTAAAAAGGAAATAGTAAACTAAAATTAAAATGACCTATCTGGGATGTAGCTCTGTATGAATAAAGCAGTGTAAGGATTTATCAACTCAGAATTTATTGAAAATAAAACTTATTTTATTGTTGTGATTTGTCAACTATGTATCATCCTAGTCTGCATCAACATACGACAAATGTACGTACTTGTTGATTTTTTTGCTTATGGACTACGCCTCTGTTTGAGCCACATTCTCATTTATCTACTTATTTTCAACTACACATTCTTAAATAAAATAGTATTTTCCATCACATCAATAACATTTTCTTCTTTTCCAACCACATATTCACCATCACATCACAAAAAAAAAAAAATGCATTCTTTCCATTTTAATGTGCATCAAACATATGAATTTTTGTTCTTATGCTCAAATTGATTTTATTGAGAACTAATGTTCTGACTGATCTTCATGTGTGTAGACTAGTGTTTTCAGGACAAAAGGATCTTAATTTCCTTTAAACTAATGCTGCTATATAATTGCGAGTTTATTTAGGAAACAAGCGAGAAAGATATAATCATATTGAAATATTCTGTTCTTTGACTAGGGTTAATCAGATCATTCAAATTGTTTTTTTTTATAAAAAAGTTGATTTTTCATGGTTTCACAGTGAGATGCTGATACTTTGATAATGCTCAATTCAGACTCTCTAAGATTTCCTGTGTTCCATTTTTCAGTTTTATTTTGTAATTCCGTCATTACTTTTATCTGTTGATTGGTATAGGGCTGGTGGCTTGCAAGATAAAGAAGGTGGTGTAAGAGAACTGCTTGTTGGAAAAGATGACGAACTCCTTAAGACCGAAACGAGAACTATTGCCAGAGCAGATGTTGCGGAAGTCTGCATTCAGGTAAAGTATCTATTTATCCAAGTTTGTAGTTACAGAGAAATCACATTTCTACATATAAGGTTGCTTAATCTCAGTCTTGCATTAGAAAATTATCTTCACAACGCGATCTTATGAACAGGCATTAAACTTTGACGAGGCAAAATTTAAAGCGTTCGACCTGGCTTCAAAACCCGAGGGAACTGGCACACCAACGAAGGATTTCAAGGCTCTATTTTCTCATATTACTACTCGTTTTTGATTAATTATTGCGGCAGTTATTTATCCAGTCATCTATTCCTTCTTCCATGGCTCGAGTGGTGCTTGTTCAAGTCCATGATAACATATTGGAAGTGATTAGATAAGGATTAAGTTACAGTAGTTTTGTGACCAAGAGAATGCAATTGATGTGCTGTGACAAACTTTAAGCTTTAAGCATTAATTTCAAATTTTGATGTTGTAATAAAATTTGTCGTCGCTGTCGCTGTCATTGTGTCACAGAGGTAACGTGGTTCTGTTTGAGTGGTTGTTAACAAATTTCAAACTAAATCATTTAAAATAGTTCGGAAAAATTCCAAACAAAGCCGACCAATTTATTTCTAAACTAAATTAAACAAACTGAATTATTTTCTAACATTAACATTTCTTTTTAATGAAAGTAAAGAAGAAAAAATAGTCGATCTGTGAGTCCATGGGGTACCCACCCATCACAGTAGTGTTGATGCAATAGTAGATGGTTTCCTATTTTTAACTTCTGGCCCCTTTTTTACCTTTTAATAGAAGGGACTTCTTTGGAAAGTAGGCAAGTTAAAAACAAATTAATAAACTGAAAACCGCCGTCTGTGAGAGTCGAGCCCACGACCACGTGGTTAAAAGCCACGAGCTCTACCGGCTGAGCTAAGATGGCTACATGCTATTTTATTGTAATCATAATATGCCCGTGTTTGACACCCATCTTCATTTTCATTTATTCTTTATTTATTTATTTTAAGTGCACATTCTTCCAATAAAATAATATTACACACAAATCTAAAACTTTTCATAACTTTTCCACTACACATTCTC